CGGTTCTGCTGAGGCCAGTCCATGGGAACACGCAGTTCCCGGACCAGAGAACACGTGGTTCTGCTAAGCCCATGTCCTGGGAACACGCAGTTCCCGGCCCAGATAACCCGCGGTTCTGCTAAGGCCAGTCCTGGGAACAGCCAGAGAACACGAAGTCCTGCGAAAGGCTAGTCCTGGGAACCCGCAGTTCCCGGCCCAGAGAACACGTGTGAACACGCAGTTCCCGGCCCAGAGAACCCGCGGTTCTGCTAAGGCCAGTCCATGGGAACACGCAGTTCCTCGACCCGGAGAACACGTCGTCCTGCAAAGGCCAGTCCTGGGAACACGCAGTTCCCGGCCCCGAGAACGCGTGGTCCTGCTATGCCCAGTCCTGGGAACACGCAGTTCCCGGCCGTGGTCCTGCTCAGGCCAGTCTTGGGAACCCGCAGTTCCCTGCAGAGCGGCGTCCAAGGAAACGCGCAGTTCCCTGTCATATAGGAACTCGCAGTTCCCAGGCTGCCTGCAACCACATCCCACGCAGACGCGGGATGTGGCCACTCTGTCCTTCTTGGAGACACGCAGTCTCCCCCGGGCAACCGGTTCTCTCAGCGGCATGGAAACACGTAGTTCCTTATACGCTGTCTCCTGCGCCAAGAGGATGAGTTGCCCACACGCGCAAACCCAAGTGGGAACCCTTAATGTTATAAAAGTCTCAAAGGCGCGCCTGTTTGAGCGGACATGGCTGCGGCGTATACGCGAGCGGTGCGAAAAGAGATACCCCCAACTACTAAGGGTCTATAATGGGAGGCCCCCTGGGCCCTGAGTAGACAAGGTCTAAGATGTTAGTTTTGAACATTGTAGACCTCTTTCCTTAGATCATTGTAGACCTTTTGATGTGCCTTAGCAAGTGCGAGTTTCCAGAACCATTTTGGTTCAAGATGGCGGCGCAACCCCCCTTTGGCGGAGATCCGCCTTTTTGCGAAGCCTGGACAGCAAGCATGAATCAAAGATGTTTACTCGCTGAATGGGTTTCCTTTACTTCTTCTTATTTCCTTCACTTCTTCTGAGGAGAAGTGCGGATCGGCGGGTGGCACTCCGACTTGGGATGCCGAGCTGGGCCTTTGGCGCTCCAAGTGCCAGAGGGTCACGGTCCACCCGTTGACAGGCAAGGAGCGAAAGAGCCAACATGAGAGCTTCACGCATTTTGGCTGCAAAGATTTTTTCGGCGGCTTTTTTCGGCATGTGAATTTCCAAAGCAAGTATATAACGAAAGCCAGCCGAAGGCTTGGGTTGAAGTATGTGTATGCGGCGAAGCTATCTGAGGGGTGCGCAGGGGGGATATCAAAATCGTTCCCTTTTGGAAAGGGAGAGGTCAGAATAGAATAGTGTAGCGAGCTCATCCACACAGGCCATGAAACCCAGCCAAGC